CCTAAAACAAGACAAATGTATTCTCTTACAGTTCTGGAGGTCAGAAGTCCGAAAGCCAAGGTGTTGGGAGGCCTGTGTTGCTTTTGGAAGCTCTAACATAGAATCGATTTCTTTGCTTTTTTTTTTTTTTTTTACCTTCCAGAGACTGCCTGTATCCCTTGGCTTGAGGTGCCTTTCTCCATCTTCTGAGCCAACAGCATAGCATCTTCCTGCCTCTCTCTCTCTCCCCGCCCCCTCTTCCATCTTCGCAGGGCTTTCTGATTCTGACCCTCCCACCCTTCTCTTACAAGGACCCTTAGGATCGCATTGTTCTCCATGATAAGCTCCCCATCTCAAAATCCTGAATGTGATCACATCTGCCATGTACCTTCTGCCATATAAAGCAACACAGTCACAGGTTCTAGGAATTAGGACACAGACATCTTTAGGAGACATTACTCAGCCTGCCACAACACCCATTCCATTTCAATCTGACTTTTTTTTTTTTTTTCAAAAATATAATCTCAATCACATTTTGAGAATCAGAATAGTCTATAATAGATTATGTTTTGTTGCTATGGGAAACATTTTCAAAAGGACGATTTAAGTTTTAGGGTGTTCCAACATATAAGAGAAGGGTAAAAAAAAAAATTTTTTTTTTAATCAAGACGATAAAAGGAAAGCTAGGCAAAATAAGAAAAAAAAATCACATAAGCAGTGGTGGATCACAGATTCCTTCATTAAAGAAATATTGATTCCACAGATGTAGCCAATCGTAAAAAAAAAAAAAAAAAAAAAGAAATATTGAAAAACCACATGGGTTGTGCTAAAAAGCAACTAGAGATCATATAGCTCCAGCTGACCTGATTAGACACAGACATGCAGATTCATCATTCCGCCCTGAGTGAGGACTGGCGCAGGCCCCCTGCCTGGCTCAGTGTCGCCGCTGCTGAAAATCCAACGCACTCACCAGCCTCTTGACTCCGGCATGGGGCAACAAAGGTGTCATCTTCCTGAGCAAAGCACCAGACCCTCTGCACAGCCCATGAAACCATCCTCGCGCCACTGCTGAGAGGCCAGGTAAGCACTTGCACCCTCCTTTGTCAGGTCAAGGACTCAGGGCTCGAGGAAGTCAAGGGACTTGCCCAAGGTCACACACTGACCTTGGTAGAGTCAGAACTAGCCCAGAGGGCACCCTTCCCCCCAGACCCACCCACCGGATCTTCAACAGTAAGATAAACTTTCAGTGAGCCTTTTTTAACTCAAAAGACTCTTTCACAATTCCTCAATTCCCCGCCCCTAATCTTCATTCCAAATCTTTCCTGTTCCCCTTGGCCCAGCCCCACATCACTCTGTCTCAATCCCTCTTTAAACTTAACTGAAAAGTTCGATTTGAATGCACTAAATGTTCTTCTTCTCTATCCACAGGCTCTTCATTTCTTCAAAAATGAGCCTACCATCTAAATAAGATGATTAGGAGAGGCTGAACCATGAAAGGTTAAAACTAGGGGCTCAGAAGTCAGATAGCCTGGGTTTGCCACCTGGCTTTGCCTTGTTAGCTGTGTGACTTTGAGGCAGCAACTCAACCTCTCTGTGCCTTAGTGTCCTCATCTGGAAGTGAGAATAATGACAGCAAAGATCTGGCAGAGCCTCCGTGATAACTGAATAATGGCACGTGTATAGTGTATAGTGAAGCCTACAGTCTTATCCACTTGACACATCTTATGCACTCATCCCCGGAGCGATCCCTTCTGCAACTCTCTCACATCAAAGGCCTGGCTTCCCTTTAGCCTTGGCTGTTGGGCAGGCCCCCTCTGGCCTCCCCAGTGCCCCCCCTGCTCCAGCCCTCCACAGACACAGGGCTAGAGCTTGGGCGGCATGACTTCCAAGCTCAGAAACCTTCCCAGACCCCTGACTGCCTCCCCACTGCAGTGCCACCTCTTGGCCTGTTGTCCTCAGCCCGAGGACCTCGCCTGCCTTTCAGCGCTGCTTTCTGAGGTGTCCACCTCTCCCCCGCCACTCTGCTCGATGCCCAACAGCCGCCAAGGCCCAACACACACCAAACTCCCACATCCCAGGATTTTTCCAGTCTGCCCTTTCTGCTGCAGAGCCCAGTCCTTTCCCATCCTTCAAGCCCCATCTCAAGTGCCTCCCTCTGCTGGAAGCTTTCTCTGACCAACCACACCAGGACAATCCCTCTCCTTCCTCTGCACTCCCATAGCTTATTCTATGCAATGTTTATGGCATTTAGTGGATTCAATTAATATGGACTAATTGTGGTGATGGCAATGTTCCCTATATTGACTATATCGACATTGATATCCTGGTTGTGATATGGTACTATAGGTTGGCAAGATGTCACCATTAGGGGAAACTGGGGACTGGGGATGGGGGACCTTCCTGCATTCTGTCTTCCAATTACATATGAATCTATAAGTATCTCACAATAAGAAGTTTAATTTTAAAAATACAGATTAAGAAGTATTCATAATTAATTGATCGACTGATCAATAATTAAGATTACTTACCACCCAGCTTTGCCACCCAGCACACAAGCTATTAATCCATGCAAGCCCCAGTCCTATCCTGAACTCCGTTATCCAACGGCCCATTCAGCACCTCCACCTGGATGTCTAAGAAGCATCTCAGAGTTAGCATGTCCATTACGGAGCTCCTGGGCTTTCTCCCCTCCAGTGTAATCTTTGATAAGGCCAAAAACCTTGAAGCCATCCCTGACTCTTCTCTTGCTGTCATACTCCACACCCACCCCATTGGCAAATCCTTGTAAATCCACTTTCAAAATAGACTCAGAATCTGACCACTCCTTCCCACCTCCACACCCACCCTGGTCCTAATCCCCACTCTCTCTCATCTGGATTATTCCAACAGCCTCCACCCCACCCCTGCCTCACTTCCTGCTTATTTTCTATAATTCTCACCATCATATACTATTGCTCCTACCCAGAGAGCGAAAACCCCTTGAGCACTGGGAATTCTGCTTCATTCATTGCTGCACCCTGGAACATTGGAGGCGCTCAGTCGGTGTTTGTGGAATGAATGAAAAAAATGAATGGATGATGCTATGACTTTGATACTAGAAAAACTCTTTGAAGATTTACTTATTGTTATTTACTTACTACTGTCTCATTTTTGAAAGTGGTGAACCTAAAGTTTAGACAAGGAATGAGGACCAGAGCTCCCCTATTCTGAGCCCCACATTCCACCCACCCTTTCCTACCTGGAATTAGTCTCTTGCACAGGTCCTTAGGGGTAGGATCCACGTCTCAGTGATTATTTTGACTTTCAGCATCTAGGGACAGGGCTTGGATATTGCAGGGATGCAATGAAAACGTCAAGAATAAATGCAACTTTCTAAGTTTGTTAGTAAAATTTAACAAATTCAGTTATTCATTTCTCATTTCTTTATTACCTCTGTGCAACTGATACCTTAGTCCTCACAACTTTCTTCCACGAGGCAGGGTGTGATTCTAAGATACCAATCCCCATTTTATTGAGAGACAAACTGAGGCTCTGTGTCTACGCCTCTTCGTGGCTCTGACCACTTGGCAGCACTGCCCACCAGCAAACCAGACCCACCACTTCCCATGCACACAACACACAGGAAGCTTTCTCCGTGACATGCTGTCATTCTTGCTCCGTGCATGGCAGATTGTTGCCATGAGGATTTTCCTACTGGATTTCTTTAGCCTGGCCATGGCTAATTTTATAGCTGCCTTCTCCATGAGTACTCTGATTTTGTTACTTCCAATTTGCTTGGGACTGGGTCAAATTTGGAAAGGATACAAAGGGCACGATTGTGAGAGTGTAGCTGATTTGTCTCTGCCTGGTAATTCGTTAAGGCCGTGAAGGGACAACGTGATGTATGAGTGCCCTGCCCGGATCTATCATCAGCCGTCCCCACTCATCAGCCTCCCAAGTGACTTGTAACCATCTCGGCCACACACACCGAGTCAGCGTCTCTAGGAAGACAAATGTGTTTTACTGTGAGCGGGCAATGCTTTGGAACCAGAAAACATATTATAATCAAAACCTGTTATCAGAGGCTCAGAGGAGAGCACCTCCCCGCTACAGGCTTCTCGCCGAGGGGACAGTCTGTTTACGAGCTCTCAGCTGTGACATGTGGCTCAAGTCAATGCAAGGCCATTAACACTTACCTTGATGTCTCATCCCACCTCGATAAATATCCTTTAAGGAGGGACATACTGAAGGGATGGGTACATTTCAAGCTTTCACAGCGTGGGAGGACATTATTAGTATCCTGTTAGGTGGCAGGCTTCATCACCTCTGTACTTCAAGACACTCCGTCTGGAAGAATTCTTGCCTTACTCATTAGCAAACCTGGCCCTGGCCACACTCAGAAGGTGGTGGGACCCAGGCCCTTTCTTCCCTCCTTGCCAGCACCCCCACGCATGCAGCCTCTCCCCTGCGGCAGGCCCGGCAGCAGGCAGGCTGAGGTTAAAAGAGAGGAGAATGGGATGAGGACAGAGAGCAACTCTATGGGGTAACAATTAATAGTAATGGTGATGGTGATGAATAGCAGTGAAATAGCCTAGTGGATGCACTTGGCACAAAATAAACACTCAGTAAATACGGATCCCTCACTCCTGACATCGCTGCATGCCCAGTCCAATAACATCAGCAAAATTTTGTTGAATGGTAAGTTCATACGACCATGGCATGTCAAGAGTATAAGGGGGCCGGGCACCGTGGCTCCTGCCTGTAATGCCTGTACTTTGGGAGGCTGAGGTGGGATGATCAATTGAAGCCAGGAGTTTAAGACCAGCCTGAGCAACATAGCAAGACCTCAGCTCTACAACAAATAAAAGAATTAACGGTGTGTGGTGTGTGTGCCTGTGGTCCCAGCTACTCGGGAGGCTGAGACAGGAGCATCTCTCGAGCCCAAGAGTTTGAGGTTGCTGTGAGCTATGATGCCCGGACTCCCTGCCCTGGAGTCCGGGCAACAGAGCAAGCCTCTGTCTCTAAAAGGATTTTAAAAAGAGTAGAAGGGAAGGGTACTTGAAGCGGGTTTGCACCCAAGCAGCATCTGGAGGTGTCGCAGTTCTACCTTCAGCTTCACGATGTTTCCTTTGGCCAAAAATGCGCTAAGCCGTCTCCAAGTTCGAAACATTCAGCAAACAATGGCAAGGCAGAGCCACCAGAAACGAACACCAGATTTTCATGACAAATATGGTAACGCTGTATTAGCTACTGGAGCCACTTTCTGTGTTTCTGTATGGACATATGTGGTAACACAAATTGGAATACAATGGAACCTGTCCCCTGTTGGCAGAGTCACCCCAAAGGAGTGGAGAGAGAAGTAATCATCCCAGCTGATGTAATACTGAATTTTTCCAAAACCAACTCATAATTGATGCCAAGTAAAATCACTGTGTACCCATTAAAATATGGCATTATTGAAGAAATAAAGTACATTTGAAACCTTAAAAAAAAAAAAAAAGAGTAGAAGGGCCTCTGTGGTTTGAGATGTTCCAGACATTCTATGGAGAAGGATCAGGAAGGAGGCTCTCAGCACCTGTACTCCCTACACAAACACACATACACACACACACACACACAAACACACATACACACATACACACATACACACACACACACACAAACACACATACACACACACACACACACAAAATCCTAAGAGATGACCAAAGTTCACATTTACATATAGGACTTAGTTTTGCTCTTTCACCTTAAAATATCCTTCACAATCTCCAGTTGTGTTCAATCAACTCCCTTTCACCTGGGCAGACTGGGAAAAGATAAAAGAAACTCAGTGTCTCCTATACCCTTCCTCCTTCCCCCAGAATGCCAAGCAACAGTACTAATACCTGGCTGTCACAGAGCACCTTGCCACGTGCCAGGCATCATGCTGTGTGCTTTTCCCAGAAGGTGGGTGTTGATAGCATCCCATTTTACAGATGAGGACTCTGAGATGTGCGAATGCTCAACACCTGCCCAAGGGCACAGAGATGATAAACAACAGATCTGAGACTTGAACCAAGTTCAATGTGACTCCACAATCCCTGAAACTTACCACTTTGCAGGTAAGAAGTCAAACTCTTTATCCACTGGGTGGTCCTAATTATAGGCAGGTGACCTTTGATTTAACACAGTCTCTCTGTAGGTCTATTAAGCAAAGAAAACTACAGCATATTTTTATGATAGCCTGAAGAGATTCACATGGCCAGGAGCCAGGAGGGCTCCTTTTAAAATCTGAGACATCTAATGGGTTTAAGGAAGTTTCTCACTCAGACAAGCAGTTTGAAAGAGAAGGACACTGTCCATCAACATAACCCAAGGGCACTGTCAATCGATGAACCAAATTAATTGAACACAAATAGATGAATTTTTTTTAACTCAAAGAGTTCTTTCTTCCAAGAGAGGGTTTTGGCTTTGAGGATATTAAGGATAACTGGGGACCAGACTTAGTACACAAAACACAGTCAAAGGACATGAAAGAAGACACTTAGCTGGAGAAGTGGTGGCTCCCAATTCCCTAGTCACCAGTGACCAAAATCGAATGGCTGCTGGGCCTTGGGGTCCAGTCTTTGGCCTCTTCCCTTTATCCATCACTTCAATATAATGAAAACTCCAAAATCTATATTTCTAGGCTAAATATTTGAGCCCCAGAATTCAACATTGGACATCTCCAGTCAGATGACCTTGCTACCTGTCCAGGCTCCTGCCTGCATCCATGGTCTGGGTGACTAGTCCCATCTGCACCTAGTTATTAATACCTAGTTAGGCAGCCATGTACCTACGTTCCCACCTGCCCCCACATCCACGCCTCATCAAGACGTGCTATGGTAGAGACAGCACAACGTGGTAGTTAATTAAGGGCATGGGCTTTGGAGTCAGATAAATCTGAGTGTGAATCCCAGCCCACCCAATTACATGTTGTGTGACCTGGGCACGTGACTTAATCCACTTTGGCATTATGGGGACAAATCTGTATAATAGGGACAAAAATGCTTCACAGCATTACTGTACCAGAGTAGTCACCTCTCCTCCCATAGATATGAAGGGAAATATTGAGAGTGGGGAATGTTTGGGAAGGGCAGGGTACATCTTTCATTTATTTGTACAACAGGAGATGGCCCAGTCCACGCCTGGCAAAGGGAGGTCCTGGGTGGAAGTCACAAAATTGTCTTCAGCAGAGATGGGATGATCAGAGGCATCAGCTGTAGTTGAACAGTAACTGCCTGAAGCTGAGAACCCATCCTTTAAAAGTTCTGTATTTCCGTGAATGTTCAGGAAATATGGATTTCGAGACGAGAAGATCTATCATTTTTCCTCCTTTGCCAGCAAAGTAATAAAACTTCTCTTTCCTCCTCCCCAAACCACTTGTCCTCGTTCTTCTGATTCGGCCTCGTGGATGAGTGCCAAGCTTTTGGTAACATTATTGCAAACATCAAGTGGGATAACACAAACACAGCCAAGCGTGGGTATTTTTAAATTCCCGAGCCCACTTCTCTCCACCTCACTGCTCCTCCCTCACCATCTCTTCCCAAACGGAGCAGTGGGGTCCTGGTTGTTGCCCCAGTCCCACAGCCTGCTCCCCTAAAATCCACTCTCCACACTGCAACCAACCCAAGCTTCTAAAATACAAACAGGACCTCACGGGCAAGCCTCAGTACAGCTAGTCCAGTCTCCCACTGAAAGCAAAACAAAGCAAACACCTTTGTGTAGTTACAGGGACAAAAGAAGTCCAGTTCACGAGGTGCAGATTAGGAATTGGTGTAATGTTGAACCCCTTTAAGAACATGACAAAAATTATGCATCTATCTTCTCCCCAGAAAAAGAAAAATCCCTACTTATAAACACACAAAACACTCAGATGTTCCACAAGGTACACAGACCCCAGGTGAAAGCCTCAGACTCAGAACATTCTTCAGCCTATCCGTGAGGCTGACCAACTGCAGTCGCCGAGGATCCAAAATTTGAAACAACACTTTCCTTCATCTTCATATTCAGGGTCCCCAAAAATCTGGCAAGAAAATATAGCTGTCAGCTCAGGGCACTTTTCCCAGAAATGGATGGCACCTCTGAAGGGCTCTTAAAGAGAGTAGCATAAAACCACGATCAATCATGTACCTGAGACTCTCAGACATTTTTACGGCACCAGTAGGTGCTGGCTAAGAGGTGCCACGTTGGTGCAGGAAACACTGAGTGCTCGGGTCTGTCTCCATGCCTCCCCTCTTCCCGCCTCCCCCCACCTGAGCACCAGATGGCAGAGCAGCTAAGCTCTCTAAAGTCTCCTACAAATTGCCCAGGGGCACCAGACCAAGAATTTTATGACCTATCCTCCCCACAGTGCTCCTAGGCTCAGAAATGTTAACTGCCACCCAGACAGTTGAGGTATGCAACACACCCTGAGGCTCATTTCGCAGGATAGGAGCAGAGTAACACATGCCAACTAGCACCGGCCTAAGAACCGTCCCTACACCTGAGCGTGCGGCTGGTGGCACGCTCCCCAGGCCAGCGTTGGCTTCACTCCTGGAACCGTTCATTTTAGAAGCTTAACAGAATGATAAAAAACCACTCCACTTTTCCCACTATCACCATAAAACTTTATTGCAACAAACAAACCATTAATATAGAAGTTGATGTTTAGAGTTTGGAAGTACCATTAAACAAAAATGGCCTTGAAGTTTAACCAGATGAGGTTAGAGGAACCCTGAGAGGGTGTGAGAATAATCTGGGAAAAGGAACAAGACTGAAAACAGGGATGCTAAATGCACGCCTCCAGCAAAACTAAGGGTTGGGCTCTTCCATTTCCGGAAATCTTCACTACTCCGATGCAACCTCGTACTTCAGAGAGGAAGGAACAGAAAAATCTTCTTTTCATGTGTTCAACTCAAAGAGCTGCCAATAGCCCCTTCCAAAGAGTAGCGAGTTCTGGCCAACCAGCCTTAATTTCAGCCTCCCCACCTCTGCTCCAACCCATGCGATAAGTATTATAGAATATGTTCCTTTATTTTAAAAGGAAACTTATCTCCTGATCCTTGGAAACATCACACTGCAGACTTGGAAGGCCTGAATTTTCAGCCATCTGCAGATGTTTCCCACATCAAAGCCCAGGTCTTAGAGGATCCTGGTTCTACCTCTCAGGACAACTCAACATCCGGATGCTGGTGTCACTGGCTCCCCTTCCTCTCCTTTCTTTGGCAATGTGGACTCTTACCTCCAAACCAGGGAGCACGGGGTCTCTGAAAGATACCGTGCTGAAGTTGAGATGGGGGGAGTAGAACAGCTGTCCTTGTGGGCTTAGAGCTAAGACACAAAGATGCATGGCGGGGCATCGAGATCCTTCCATACATTGACAGGCCTCTCCAGCTCGGGACAGTCACGTCCTGGAGTGTGCAGGACAATTGCATAGGACCTTGTCTGGTGTTCTGCTTTGTCCTCTAAAGAGCCACCCAGTGCAGAGGTGCTAATCCTTTGTCTGGCAGTGTTCTGTCATAATAATAAGCATCATCAAAGCTATAACAATTACTATTACCACCACTGCTATTTATTGGGCACTTATGAAATGCCAGATACACAGTAGTAACTCACTTTGCACATATGGCCTCATACCATCCCTATGAAGTATATATCCCAGTACCCACATTGTATCGGTGAGAAAACCCAAACTCCTGGGGAGCTGAAGTAGCTCATCTTACTCCAAATGCCACGCAGACTCACCCACTTATATCATCATCCCAATCCTCCTCTCCTTAGAGAATGAGCCACTGGGGACAATCAGCTCACTTTCTGACAAATTTCTCTTGTCAGGGGACCTGGCGCTCATTTATTCAACAAGTGTACTTCTGAGCAGTCACTGTGCGGCTGTACTGTCACCACATCTGTTCCCAGGGCCGAACACGATGTGCTTAGCCCCACCCTCGAGGATGAGACAAAGTCTTCCAAAGTTAATGTCCTCCCAGAGACCTCCAGGGTCTCTACCCCACCCAGCCTTCCCTGCTGGCCCTACTCCATATTTCCCACTGGGCTGCTTCCCTTCATATTTCAAAAGATAAATCAAAATAGAGTATAAATATTGTTCAGTAAAATATATAAGAGGCCATTGGTTTGGACCGAGCCCCTGCACTCGGCCCAACAGACCGGACCAACTGGAGTCCCTCGTGCTGCAGCTCCGCGCCACCAGCCCGACCAAACTGTTTACCTGACCTTCCAGAGATCAGGAGAGTAAGCGCCAACAGCGGAATCCCCAAGCAGGCCAGGTTAGCTGGTGTGGTAAGGAAGTCCCTCTGCTTTAACCCTTACGAGGAAAGTCACTTTGAAACCACCAATCTGCTTTTTTGTTTTTTTCCTGCCTTCCTCAGCCTTTTTCTGTCTGTAAAACCAACCTCCTGGCCTCAGCTCATCAGAACACTCAATTTATTTTATAGAATGAGGTGTTGCCCGGTTCAAGAATCCCAAGCCAAATAAAAGCCA